TATCTTCGCGCGACACCCCGGACGTAAGTTTTCTTTCGCGATTGATTTGATAACAGCTGGGACAACCGTGTCAAAAACAACCGTGAAATTGTAACACGTAACGCGGCGTCTCGTTCTCTGATTCGACTTCGTAATATCCGTCGACGGGTATACCGGCAATTCGATACTCGCGGCCTCGCTCTGCATGGATTATAGGATGCCCGAGCTCGCGCTCCATCCACACTAACCACTGCAGGGCTTTGTGCGAGTGATTATCTTTATATCTATATCTGCCCGGAAATGATTCCTATTTCTTCCTCACGTAAAAAGTTTTTACGAAAAACTTTCATACATGTGGAAGCGATAGTCGTGCATTCTACAAACGGACACACGTCTCCGCGTTCTAAAAAGATTTTTCTGAACACCATGCACGCGCGTCGAAGGATATCTACGTCATTCCGACAATATTTTATTATTTCCTGTTTAAAATTAAAATCGAAATTCGAACGCGACATTTCCTCGTGCCAAACCATACAACGCTCGTGTTCCTTAGGGTTTCATTTGTTCGGGCGAATAATATCGTGCGTCAGGTATTGGACCAATATAATTTTGATTCTTCAACGTATTAAACAAATAAGGAAAAAAATCTTTGCCCAGAATATCCTGCAGCCCGAAAGCCTTGGGTAACTCCGATAATCGCATAGGTATATAATTTGAGCTATCGATAAATTTAGTACCAACCGTCATAACGATAATTTCCGTCCCGTTCAAAATCACCCGAGGTTATTCCGTTCTTTCCGACTTTTCAACAATGTACTTTAAAATAAATTCAGCGTCAAATGCTTTAGCATTATATGCGATACAGATAAATTTTTTTAAATATTTAGACGAGCGCGTCGCGAAATCGACAAACTCTTTTACGGGGTCTCTACTAAATACGAATTCGCGCACTCCACACCAACGATATCGCAATGACATAGTCTCTATTTCCGCTTCGCAAATTTGTTGCGCGACGCAGAGAGTTGGAACGTGAATTCTTCTCCTTCGCGTTTCGAAATCATAAAACACGAATGAGACGCGATCTCTTTTAACACGCTCGTCCGCGTCTTCGGCGTCATTCGTATTTGTTTGCGGATTTTCTTCTCGCAACGCCATAGTACTTGTACCCTCTCCAGGGTTTTCTACTGTGGTTTTACGACAAAGAGGCCGCATATAACACAAATAATTCGAAGACCGTAACGAACGGCACGTTTCACAATAAATTACGTCACAATCGTGTCGCGATTTTGAATTAATCAATCGCCCGCAACCGTTGCAAATTTTAATGGATTCGCAAACGCTTGAGAGGGATTGATTATACGATCCCTGCGTTCGATGACGATCGAAACACGGACGCCCGAAGAAGACGCGAGCGCACGAATCGCACTTAATCATCTCAACGTCGAAAAACAAGACGGGGTAGCGTAGCAACGTGGCCATTTTTTTGTGCATCGATGCCCTCGGTCGTTACGAAAGCCCACATTGCACGCTACGCAATATCCTCCACGAGAACCGGCGGCGGCTTTTAAATTTAGTATAGGGTTATAATGTTGCGAGCCCTCGTAATACATTATGTTTAACCAGCACGAGGATTCGCGACCTAGGGAGGAAAGTAACGAGCAGCCGTCATACATCGGACTCTCTCCTCGACCGAAAGTACTAAAATTATATACCATTATAGCAATATTTTAGGAAGCGAGAATCCGTTGGAATTGTTCGATTTCACGAATACCACAGCCTTCCTCGGGAATCGTGATACCAGCGGATTTCGTTAATTCTTCGGCCAGCTTACGCTGTAACGAAGACCGCTGGTATCTCACGGATTCCCATTTTTCTTGCAATTCCCCCGTACGCAGTTGCCCGCGCTCTTGATATGTGCGAGCCACTACGATCAAACGGGGAAAACACAAGTTGTCTGTATTTTTTATTTGTAAAATCGAGCGTTTGGCTATGTCTTCGCGAGTCAATTTATTAGATTGACGTCCGCGACCTGCGGGTACCGAGACTTTAAAAACACGCAGGATAAAATTTTCTGCGATATCGATTCCTCCGGCACTTTGCGCCAACGAACTCACGAGTTGCCATATGTCCTCGTGAGTTAAGTCGCATGCTGGACGAAACGATAGACCCGCCGGACCGCGCGATACGTCCTAATTTCACGGAATGCGTTTTCTATCCAACGAACGATAGCAGTACCCTCGGGTGGCGGTCGTATCGCGAAAGTTGCCTTCCTCCCTAGTAACGCGAAATTCCTAAATTGACGCGAGGTTTCCGCCCTTAATTCTATAGAAGTGAAATTATCTCTAACCTCTTTCTCCTCCTGTCGACGATGACAATCCCGATTGTTTTCCTCGAGCTGATGATGATGATGATGATGATGATGTGTATATTGCTGCTGCTGCTGCTGCTGCTGCTACTGCTGCTGCTGCTGCTTCTGCTCATGTTGTTTGCCTATGGAATTTTGTGAGGATTCTTCTTCCATCGGCATGGTTTCTTCTCGCGTGTGCTGCGATGTAAGAGGCTCAGCACCACCGCCTATTTGTACTGTAAAAAAAAGTTAAGCAAATTTTATTCGTCTGATAACATTGCTTTATATATATATATA